CAGGAACGGCAGAAGAAGAGAAGAGGAGGGGAGAGGAGAGGGGAAGGGAGGGGAGGAGAGAGGAAGGGGAGAGGAGAGAGAGATGGGAGGTGGGCAAGACCCACTTTTTAAAAGGGAACATAGTGAATGTACACAGGAGGTGCTCTTAGTGGCTGCAGCTGAGGAAGTATCCTGCCAGGACCCCAAGCAGGAGCCAATACAGATGCCTGAAGGAATACTAACACTAGTGGGTCTCCACCTCCTAACGCTTCCCAATGAGTTTCACCAACTAAGGACCAAGTTCAAACATTGGGAGAGTCAAGATGGTGGCGACATCCAGCACCCCCCCTCCCCCCGAAACCTTGGGGCTGCTTCATGGAGCCTGAGAGACCCACGGAGGCTTTGTGGGGAGCCTGCAGAGTACACAGTATCTCTGGAACAGGTGTTATGGAAAGATGTTTTTTAAAGAGTGGTTTCACGGAACTGGAAAAGAAGATGGCGGAGAGGAGCAACATACTCGGGAGGAAGTGGAACTAGAAGAGCAGCGCGGCAGTGACAAGCATGGGAGGTTCGGGTCACCTCTGGTCCTGCCTCACCTCACTTCTAGGGTTTGGCCGCCTCTCGCCTCTGCACCCACAGTGGAGCACTGTTGCCGCTTGGAGTTGCTTGCACTGCTGTGCTGCGTCGGGAGATCATAGGCGAGCCTGGAACTTGCACAGGTGTCGTGTCCCGTGCCCGCCCCCCCCCCAGCAACAACAAGACATCCAAGATGAAGGATGGTTCATTTTCTGGAGTAAGCCTCCTTGGAAAGGTTTTCATAGTACTTGTGCCTCCATGCAGATATATGTGGTTTGTGCTCCCTTTGGAGGTCACGCTGGTGTCCGAGATTCCCTGCTGCAGCCAGAAGCCATGTGGATGTCCATGATGCTGGACTGATGTCTGTGCCCGAAACTGCCTCTGGTTGCTGTGGGCAAGGAAGCGTCTTTTGAAATGTTATCAATGGCTGCAGATTCGTAACTGGGAAGACATTTAAGACTTCTGTGACAGCTTCCTTGCCTCTCTCCTCCCCCACAAAAGAAACAATTCAGACAAGAGGGGACTGAAGAGAATCTTTAAAAAACTGTGGTAAAGATGCTGAAGTTCTTCACAGCTGATGACTTCTGGGGGCAGGGGAAGCACTCCATTTTCTTTAAAGGGGCCACTGGGTGTTTGACCATATTCCAGTGAGTACATGGTTAACACAAACTGGACTTGTTATTTGTTTTTGGAGGGTGGCATAAGGGTTGGAGGGCGGATCTGGGAGATATGGGAAGAGAGTGTGATCAGGATGTATTGTCAGAAATTCTCAAACAATAAAAATATTATATTGTGGGGGAAAAGTTCAAATATGTGAACCTATGGGGCGAAGTCTTATGCAACAGAAAAGTTGTTTTAGAGATGACGGGATCAACATCCCCACGGGTTTGTGTAGGATAGGCTCTGCTAACCAAGAGGCATCTCAGCTACTTCCTTTTTCACCTGGAGTGTTCATGTCAATCAGTGACAGAACCTGCCTCTCTGGTGCCATCGGTTCCAATTGTGACCTCATTGTAGCTCATTGTGTCACCTTCACGCAGTGAAGCTTATACCCATTTTCCCTTACCCTTGTGCTTTTATAAACAGGAATGGAAAGCATCTCCAGAGAGACGCCGTGGAATCATGGGTCACAGGACCTCTGATGTCATCTTCCTTTTTGCCCCAGATGATAACAGTGTGATTTAAACCATTCGAATGCAGCCTTAGTGAAAAGGCAGAACCAAGTCTACCTGGACATAGAAAACAAGAGATCTCATTCTACTTTGACTTTTGAGGGTATCTATTTGAATATTTTTCTAACATGATATTTTAAAAAAAGAATAAAAGTGTACCATCCTGTAATACTGAGTCCGAGTTTTTCCAATATTCCTGCCAATTTGGCCTCTGCTGGAAGCCCAACTGCTTTTCATTTGTGATATTTCTTCCAAGTGCAGGGAAAACCTTACTTTTTATCTCTTGCTACAGAGAGAGGGCAGGGCCAACTGTTTGTACGAGCCAGATAGCAAATCTGTACGAAAGGCAAGTGATAAAGAAAGATGGCCTGCTGCCAGGCTAGGGGAAGGACCTCTCCGGGTAGGGGAAGGAAAGGGCTAAGCTTCCTGCCTCCACACGATATGAGATTCAAACCAAATAAGTTGGTCTTAGACACAAGCAAAAAAAAGAAATAGCAGAAACAGGAAAGAAAAGAAAGTCCAAGGCCTGCTTTCAGGAAGCAGAGGACACTGGACTCTGATACCTTTTTATTATTCATAGCTCCAACTGTAGACAGCAGCTTCTTTTCTCTACAAAGGAACTGAGACCCCTGTTCCTCAAATCAAAGCAACATAGCAGGGAATCACTTTGAAACATCATCTGGAAATACTTGTTACAAAAATACTATGATGTAGCTGCCTGAAGAGCCCCTATAATGGATATAAAGGGTTTAAGTGGTTACGTATAGTAGCGATGCCCCTTACGGCAACACACTAGTCATTTACCTTTTGGTAGGACAGACCTGTAACTTTTATGCAAATTTGATATGTAAAGAATTATCAAAAAATCCTGAAATCCTCCCCATGATCTCACAGAAGATTATTCAAATGAAGTTTGTACAGCACTAGGTAACAGAGTGAAGAAGGCATTGCTTTATTGTTGGTGTGTTTAATGGCATTGTAGCTCATATTAAAAATTACCTGACTTAATGGAGAACTAAGTACCTTTACCTACTAGTTCTTCCTCAGCATGGAGGGGATGACCAGGGAAACCATATCAAGGTTCGCATTCTTGTGTTGTGAAGGCGCCAACCATTGTTAAAGAAGCAATTTTCTTTTGAGAACTTCATAGCTCCTCCACAGATGTGAACTTATCGGAGTGAGGGGCTATTTGGCAGAGATCTGGTGAGCTCATTCCTACTCAAGGGGAGATTTGATAACTTGACTTCATAATGGAGCAGAACCTGAGGGTGATGTCATTACAACTGAGTTCGCTCCATGTTTAACGCCATGGAACATTTGAGGACCAGCTGAGGGGAAACCATATGTGGAATCCCCACAGTAAGTTCCTTGATGGCTTTTCAAGCCCATTCGCATGTCTCCTAGGATGTGATAATGCCTGGATGAGCCCTTTGTTTTCAAACAGTGCAGAGACTCGCAGACTTAATTCGTCTAAATGCAGAAACAGCTGCTGGTATTTGGCTGCGCCTGTGAATCTCTTTTTGCTGCTTAGCTGCAGCTCCCTTCAGAGTCGAGGCCAGAATGCTCGCTTTACCTATCCTCCCCTCCCACTTTATTCCCGGAACATTAGCAAAACACCAAAGTATCTTTCAGAAAACTCTGCGCAACCTACTTGGAAGTTTCGTTTTCATCTCCATCTAAGAGAAATCCAGATTAGCAGGAGAATGCCAAGTGCGCCAAGATTCTTGTTTGCTTTAGTTCCTCGACACTGTGAGAGAAATGTCTCCTCTATTGGTTCGTTTATATTTGCATGGATAATCATCATCTTATGGTGATGATGTTTGCCATAAACAGCAATAGGTTTGAAAGCTCAACAAATACCAAGTTTGTTTCTTTATTCGGTTGCTTAACTCAATCTTAGTGCGCTCCCAAATTAGCTGTTTAGTCTAAGTATTAGTTCTCCGATTTGTAAAATAAACACAACGCCATCTACTTGTGGGAGCTGACCTAAGATGTACATAGGCCGCAGTATACAAAGCCCTCAACACAGTTCCTGGCCCCCACGGTATGCTCAACTATGCCACATTCCCTCAGTTAGGTCAACAAGCTGAAATAAAGGATCCCTCGTCAACTATGAGTCACTGAATGCCAACTCTTCCACAAGATTCTTCTTTCAGAGATCTCTGGGCCTTTCAAAAAGCTCATCTGCTTCCTTTGGCAGACAGAAAAGAAAACAGACCGATTAGCACAATTACCCTACCCAACCCCAGAGAATAAGTAGATGTGGGTCCAAAATATTAGGTTGAATGAATTTGCCCATGAATTTTTAACTGGCCATGCTTTTAAACTCATGAAGGCAGGGATTGCAGGAAGCCGGTGGGTCCTCCTGGTCTTGGAACTCAGCCCAATCATGAACAAAGATCCCAAGTAGAATGCTGGGAGTTTAGGCAAAGCCACACTGCCTGGGAGAGCAGAGTTTCTTGGGCAGAGCACCTCTCTGGCCACAAGCCTTCTTCTGGGAGAGCCCCGCCTGGATTAAAACACAGTCAAGGACTCTAAAATACAAAGTTCTTTCGCAATCCACTTAACGGTGCGTGGGCCTGGGTGGGGAGGCAGAGAACTTCCTGGCAGACTTTTAGAATCAACAATGAAGAACCTATAAAACCCAAAGAAGGCATAAAGAACCCTTGCTGGACCTCCGCAGGAGGAAGGAGCTAGCCTCCACCCTTTTTGACGAATTGTGTAGCCGACGTCTCCCGACACGTGATGCTGGCGCTATTGGCTAAGCAGTACCTCAGCAGCTGTTCTTGCTGTTAGAAACAGTGGAAGAGTTCAATACAGTTCCTTTTATAGCCTCGGCCCCTTTAAGCTTATGTATCCTGGCAAATGACTCTAGAGGGAAAAGAAACGTCTCAATCAGTAACTCGGTGTAAAAGGATCCCTGGATCAGAAAGCAAGGGACGAGGAAGGAAATGCATTTTGCCTACAACCTAGAGTCGCCTCGAATTGCCGGGCACAGGCCTCACTCTGAGGAACAACCACCTTGTTGAGGAAACTAGAATGAGAGAAAACTGGCAACAATTTTGATGATAAGCCAGTTGCTAGTAATTCCGCCTGACAAAAGTGTGGCGTGATCCCCTAAAGGCTGGACTGAACCTGGCTGCCTCTTCCCAGAGCCAGGCCTTCAGGGCTGGGCCAGCACTCAGTCAACTCTAGTTCTCCGTGCATCCTCTCCCCACCTCCTTCTTCTCCTCCCGAGGAAACCTTCCTCCCCTCTGAAAGCATTCACTCCTGTAAACTCAGTGCTGAGGAGAGGGCTTTACTTGGCAGCTTTAGGTTTACAAGATCGCTGGTGAACAATCAGTCTGTCTGGCAGGAAGGTCCGCCCACAAACGTTGCAGGGAATCAATTGGCTCTGGGCACTTGTCCAAGCAGCTTCGTTTAAGGCGTCAAGATCATAGAACCCTTTGGCTGCAAAAAAAAAAAAAAAAAAAAAAAAAAAAGGAAGGGAAGAAGGGAAATATCTTTTAGAAAGTAGAATGGGAAGGTACAATGTATTAGTTTCCTTTCTAGGGAACCGTGTTCCACTATTTATGGAAACCAGTCGCAGGAAATACCTCTGGACTGGCATTTGCAAGCAAATCATGTGACTCTGGCAGAAATTAATAACAGTAAATAACGTTTGAGCATTCTTGCAGGGCTTGAAAGGACTGGAGGCTTTTTACGCTCTGGATGTGAAAATGGAAAGACAGAGTTTCTCGTTATGATATGCACTCTTCACTGACCATTATTAACATCTTTGCCTATCCGCTGTTATCTTGCAAATGCAACGTTTGGCTTTCTTTCTGTTGGTTCTAAATAGAAGCTTACAGCGGGAAAAGAAGGCATCTGTTTGCGTTTTCATCTTATGCAATCTTTGCTGGAAGGTTTGCAGAGCCCGAACTGACAAACTGAAAGTGAATTTAAAATGAATTATACCCTAAAAAAACATCGTCTCTTCGTGGTCAGAAACTCAGATGTTCTTTTTGACTAATTAAAATGCAGAATGCAAACAAGTTGAGGGGAAGAAGTGTCCTTAAGAAAGCAAAAAGAGCTGAGAAATGTGTAATCATTTTTGGCGGGGTAAGGAAGAGAAAAAGCATGTGGCCTTGCTTTAGAGGAACAATGTGGGCTTTTAACTTTAATAAGCCTTATTTAAATAGAATGACTTTAGTACATTAAATTGACTATGCCCTAGAATCTCCCAAAATAGGCCCCGCGAATATGGCCGGGCACTCAAAATGTACTACTTCATTAAAACACTAGGCTATGTTCATTTTGATTTCTATCTTAATGGCTCACACAGCCATAACAAACCTTTAGATCCTTAGTGTGCTCCCTTTTCATGGAGATTTCAACCCTGTGCATTTTACCTTTAGATTAAACAAGCCTTGCTGTTACACAGATTATGGATGTATATTTAAAGATTTGCTCTTACTCTTAATTGTGTGTGTATGTATCTGTGTGTGGGTTTGTACACATGAATACAGGTTCCTTCAGGGGTTAGAGACACCGGATGCCCCGTAGCTGGAGTTACAGGCAGCTGGGAGCTGCTAGACTTGGGTGCAGGAAAGTGAACTCAGGGCCCCTTGCAAGAGCAGCATGTGCACTTACTGGCTGAGTCGTCTCTCCAGCACATCAATGTGTGTTGTGAGTGCCTTGCAAACCCTGTAAAGGATAGAGCTGACTCATTGCAATGCTTCTGCATAAGGCTTTGACTGCGGATCCAGTACTGCACTGAGTGTGTGGGAGAGGAAGTCAATTCTATTTACCTAGAGGAGAGGGCACCTTCAGAGATAAAATGAAGCCAAGAGGAAAACTGCAGGCGAGTGAAATGATAGGATCTAGCTCCCCTTTCTCTCTGTGAACAGTGGCAAGCAGTGAGACAGCCCCTTCCAGGGAATTTCAAGCTATTCTCACTTCTAGCTAGGTGATAAAAAGATCAGTAGAAGAAAATGATACAGTTGGGAACAGTTACTTTGGATACCGTATGAGAAGTTCTAGGAAACCAGTGAATTACGTAGTCTCTCTAGAGACAAATATTATTATTTCAGTGGGAGGGTACTTTCTTTTTCCTTTTTAAAAATTTTTATTTTATGTGTATGGTGTTTTGCCTCCATGTACGTCTATGTACCACACATGTTCGTGATGCCTCAGGAAGTCAGAAGAGGGTGTCAGAACACATAGAACTGGAGTTATGGGTGGTTGTGAGCAGCCATGTGGGTGAAGGGAAGAAAGCCCAGGTCCTCTGTCAAGAGCAGCCGTGTTCCTTACCTCTGAGCCATCTCTCAAGCCCCAAGATGCTCATTTTGAATTCTTTTTCAACCTCTATACAAAGTCCCTTTTTGCTAAGGGTTGTGAAAAGCTGGCTTTCAATAGCATCGAGAACTTATTATAACAATCTAGATTTCACTCTATGAAGGTCATACTCTTCTCGGATCACAAATTAAGGAGTTGCCGTAACCTAGCCAATGCCAAGCAGCCTGAGCAGTAGCTTTGGCTACATAGGGAAAATACTTGAAGAATGTTTCTCTTAAAATAAAAGATAACTGTTAAGGAATGAGAAAATCAAATAAGAAAAACATTAATAATAGAAATATAATTATTGAGACAGCTTGCGTGGCAAGTGTGTAAATATATTTACACATACAACATAAAACATCACATATATGATATACTATATAACATACAATGTCTATTATATAACATAAATATACATATAATTATACATATTACCATAATAGATCATTATATGTATGTACTATGGTATAATTATTGTATATTAAACTTATAGAAATATATAATATGTAAATATGTAATTATATAAATATAGCTATTATATGCATACATATGTACATACATATATAACATTTAATATCTATTATAATATATAATTGTGATGTAACTATACAAATTATACTTGCCTTGTATTTAAATTACATATAAAATAGTAAAACAGTATGTAATATATATTATTATATGTAATGATATATAATTTATATAATATAATTTTTTTCTTTCATACATTGTTCATACTCTGTTCATACTTTGGAAACACAGCACTCTGTGACCTTCCTGTGAGACAGAACAGCTCCATGTTCACTTGGGTTACACAGCACTTTATAAATTTATAAATTATTGATTGAAAAAAATCTGGACATTACATCCAGATGTCTAGATTTCTAGTTTCATTTGCATGTATTGGAAAACACAAATATCTTGGGCTGAATTTCTTAATGACAGCAGCAGCTGGGTGAGGGTGCCTTTCATTTCTGTTCGTAGAGGAAACACTTTCTGCAGCCTTGCAACCTGACTAGTAGACCCTGTGAGTAGTTGAGTTGCGGACTCCTGCGCCATGAGGAAATCAAGACACATTTATAAAAGAAAACAAGGCTGTGAAGAGTCCCAAGCATCTTTAAGCGTCATGATTTTAAAAATATTATGTGTGATAATATGTAAAAATAACTCTAGGAAAACATACTAAATTCCCATGGGTCCCTCTCCCAAGGTGTTGCCAGGACATGCTGTCTTTATGTCTCAGCCTCTGAAAACAAGACTGGAAGGATATTCCAGAATGTCTCTTAAAAACCCAATCCACTTCCTTTAGGACAGTAAGTGCTGCTGATTTCAGATGGTAGAACTAGTAAGAAAATATGGTTAATTTTCCGATTTTTTTTTTTTTGGTAAGAACTTACCAGTAATGGCTCTAACTTCTGGTTTTTTCGGTTCTTGTCTCCTTAGTTCTTTAGACAACAAATTGTTCTCATTATTCCATTTTTTCAGACACTGTGGCTCATGGATGCTAATAGATTTGGTCCCATATTCACGACCACATATGTAACAAACAACTGTTGGTGGACGCCTTATCATTGTTGGCTGAAAATAATATAAAACCCATTAGATAAAGGATAGTTGTAGACATTTTATTTGAAAATTAATATTTTTAATTCCAGCTATCAAGGCTGGAGAGGTAACTTAGTGGTTAAGAGTACTTCTTGTTCTTACAGAGGAACTAAATTCAGTTCCCAGCAAGTCGCAGCTGCCTATAACTCCAGTGTATCCAACACCTTCTGAATTCCACAGGCATCTACAGGCACGCGTGCTCACACACACACACACACACACACAAATAAAAAAATAAAACTCACTTTTAAATACTCTAGTGAATTTGACATCTTTGGCAGTAAAGACATCAAACTGTGTTGTTATGTGAGTGGATTTGAGCTTGGAAAGGAATAAATAAGGGCCAACCAGAAGTCTTCATATTGTATTGTCTGAAATTTCATTTTCATTGTGGTTTATAAGATGAATTGATTTTCTAACCCTTACATCTGAATTATAATGCTGGGAGATGCAAAAGGAAGTGAGCCTAGAATTCTCCTCTCAGTAAAATCATGATCTAATATGCCAGCATAACTGAAGATGAAAGTGCAGTCAGAGGACTGGTAACTTAGGCCTAAGCACATTCTCTCACGTCAGCTTCTTTCTACTGGTCAAGTTGACAGATACTTACCCAACTTCTTCAGTGTGATCTTTATTGACAGCTTGACTGGATTTGGAATCACCCAGGAGACACACCTCTGAGAACATTTTTTTTGTAGGCATTTCTACCAAGGAGGGAAGACACTCTAAATCTGGATTGTGTCTGGCATCTCATATGACAACAGAAGGAGCCTCAGAGTGGGAGACGAGAGGATGCAATAAATACAAGGGTTCTCCACCAAACCTGATGAACCTGAGTTAGATCCCTGGAACCCACACATTAGAAGGAGAGGAGCAACTCCTACAAGTTGTCCTCTGACCTTCATATACACATTGTGGTACACACACACACACACACACACACACACACACACACACACAAATAAATAAAAGCTAGGTAAGTAAGCGTAAATAATCTCTAGAAGATGAGACATAGAGCTGTAGTGATTGGGGTTTGCCCTGCTTATTTTAGTGTTTCTTTGGCCCAGTCTTCACTTGTTATTCCAGTTTCTCCCTTTTGGAACAGGACTGCATACTCTGTCATTGCATATTAGAAATTTGTGGCTTTTTTATTTTCCAAGGACACACAGTTAAGAGATTATCAAGTCTCTGGTGGACTTGACTTTCGAACAATGTTGAAGCTGCTGTGACTGTTCGTCATAGGAAAAGGAGGAGTGGGTGTGCCAGAGGTGGGCTGGCACAGCTTGAAAGTGACGACAGACACGTTCAGTATTGGGTTGATAAATCTCCATTGTCAACTTCACTGGATTTAGAATCACCTAGGAGACACACCCCCGGGTGTGTCATTGAAGAAGGTACCTGCAAATCCTAGCCCAAATCAACCAACCCTCCATTAAATTGCTCCTTGTCAGATATCTGATCACAACAGGATTAGCTAATACAGATGAGAGTGGGTGAATAAATAACTCACTAAGGTTAATTTCATATAGTTTTCCAGACCGTTTTAGTAAAATTGTGCCATATCTATTGCATACTATACAGGCTTCCTTCTTTTTCATTTATTTCCTTCCAAGGATTCTCTGCAAGAGGAAAAAAAAGCAAAAACAAACAAAAATCCCAGAGGTCACAAAATAATGACCCGACATTTTTTTTAAATGATAAGAAAAAACAAAACAAAACAAAATATCCTACTATAAGACAATGTCAGTTCGAAATTTCACTCTTCAAAACTTGAAATAAAGGTGTCTTTGACCAGAGGAACAGTTAAGAATTTATTAGTTATAGACTTATTGAGTCAAAATTTTTGAGAGAAGTTGATATGGGATATTCTTCTGTATGCATATGTGTTGCTTTTATTGGATAATGAATAAAACTGTTTCTGCCAATGGCTTAGCAGAGTCTAAAACTAGGCAGGAAATCCAAACAGAGATAAAGAGAGAGAGAGAGAGTAGGTAGAGTCAAGAAGACACCATGGAGCTGCTAAAGGAGACAGACACCAGAACCTTACCTGTAGATCACAGCCCCATGGTAATACATAGAATAATAGAAATGGGTTAATTTCAGATGGAAGAGCTAGCTAGGAATATTTCTAAGTTATTGACAAACAGTGCTGTAATTAATATAGTTTCTGTGAGATTATTCGGGCCCGCGCAACAGGGAAACAAAGCACAGTCTCCATCTACAAAGAGTTTTCAATGACAAAAGGAAATAACAGAAAATAGTCTAGTTCTGTAAGGAACAATGAGGAGACTATAAAGCACAAATAGGTCAGTCAATAAAATAAGTTTTGGAATATTCATAGCTTTGCTGTATAGAATATTAAGTCTCTCAGATAAGGGGCTGCTTGAGCCAAAATATCCAAAGCAGAATTATAGTAAATATGTACAAAATAAATTATAGCCACCAAGAGCACAGTGTGAGCCAGATCCTTCAATCCCAGCACTTGGGAGGCAGAAGCAGGCAGATCTCTGTGAGTTCAAGGCCAGCCTGGTTTTTAGAGTGAGATCTAGGATAGGCTCCAAAGCTACAGAGAAAGCCTGTGTTGAAAAAAAAAAAAAAGGAAGGAAGGAAGAGAACATTGTAGAACAAAAATCAAAATTGTTATTTTTAATTTGATTATATTTTTCTTGAAACAGTTTTTGAATATTTATGTTATGAATCAAATGTATTTATTTCAATGTATATAGTAGCCACTAGTTCTATACTCAGGTATACATGGGGAGAAACTAAAATCAATAGGTAAATGGCCAACCAACCCAAGATGTGATAAATTAAGCCATCTCCAAAGAAGGAAGAGTAATAAAAGAGAAACAAAAACATCAGCCCACCAAAATGTGGTGATTAATAGCATTAAGACAGGAAGACATGGAGAAATGAAGTCAAAGTCAAATACGATAACTGGCTAGGGCAGTACTCTTATGACCGCTTACCCTGCTGCCTCTTGCAGTATATCGAAAAAAGTCTTTTCTTTTCCCGAAAAAGAAATCAACAATTGCAGTAAATATAAATAGACTAAACAACACAATTAAAAGACACATTGCTGGGCAAGGTGGCTCACACCCAATCTTAGTAACTGTGAGGCTGAAATAGGAAGATTGCCGCGAGTTCAAGGCCAGTCCAGGCTCCATGATGCGGTTGAGTCCAGCCTAGGATAAAGAACTAGACTCTGTCTCAAAAGCCAGAAAAATAAAAATTAGAATAAAAGTAAATGAGATACATTTTCCAGGCTGGATAAAAAGACAACATCCAACTTTGAGTTTGTGTTCTGAGAAACACATTTCTATGAACACAAACATGCAAGAATGGGGGGAAATAATCTGTGTAACCACTGAGAGAAAGAAAGCTGATACGTTTGTGTTCATTGTAGGAAGCTTGAGTCAGATAGGCAAAAGCTGCAGGGCCATGGAGAGCCAGAAAAAAAGCCATGCTGAGATCTGAATTTTACTGTGATCCAGGTCATTCAGCATTGACCAAGCTGTAGTTGTGCCTCGTGGTTTGTGGCTACTAGGCCAATATGACTGAGAGCCAATAAATGACTGTTCTGTAGCTAAGAAAATAATGGGACCAGAAATGGCAATATTTTATTCTGCAAAATGACAGCCAGGGACAGAAAGGGAGAAATGAGCAATAGCAAACTGAAGATAGAGGAAAACACTGTGTTCTGGACCTGAGGAGACTGACCTATCCATAGAATTTCACGTCAGTGATCCCAGCCAAAATAGGAAATGTAGGCCTGCAATTCAATGTTAATAGATTTGGGAACTATTCACAGAGAAAAAGGATATTTTGCATAGGAAATTTTCAGATAAAAGGGTTAGAGTATGGAGAAAAAAAATACAAGTAGAATGTCCATAATAAGAATATTGAAGATATAAAACTCTAGGTAAAAATACAGAGAAAGGTTCAAATTTTCAGTTTAGGAAATGAGGCACGGAGAGAAAAGACCTGTCCAGAATTTTGAAAATCCTCCTTCCTGGCTTCCAGCAAGGTGGAGTCACCACTCTGTAAAAATGTTACAAAAAGAATTGGAAGGTGAGAAAAAGATGTCATCTTCATTACTAGGTATATGTCAGTGATTGGTGCGCAGTCAGCCCTGATGGAGCAGGAAGGGTGGGAAGACGGAACTGTTAGGGTTCCTCTATCAGGTAATCACATACACCTCAACTGTTAGATATTCAAAATTAGAGCTACGGGAAGGGAATGCTTCCAAAAAGCTTGAAGAAAGAAAAGAGCGCGAATAGAGTCAAGAAAGACTCGTTTATACGACAGGATTACAAAAGAGGGTCTTCCTCCACAGGCAGAGAAATGGGATCAAGCGTGGATTGAAGACATTGAGCTCAGAGGCAAGGGAAGAAAAAAAATAGACCACTTATATAAAGGTGGACGTAATGTCAGAGTTGATAAAACCCACAGAGATGAGCTTTGTCTCCTAGGTAACATGATCAGGGGATGAAAAGATTCAGATTCTGGGAAATCAAGTTTTAAAATGATAGGACTTGGTACTGTGGGAGTGTGATAATGATTCAATTAGGAAAAATATCAATTAAAGCAAAAATGACCTAATAAATAGAGTTGCAAGAGATTCCAGTAGCATTGAAGGCCCCCTTCCCATATGTTCTCTAGTAGGACTAGGAGGAATGAAGATAGAAACCAATCAAGTGGATGGTATTTTATCCTTTGAGGAAATACAACATGGTAAAATATATATGTTTTAGAATCAACCTGCCTTTCGCCACAGCTTTTGGTCAGTCTACTGAAATGGGAAAAACACAAAACAAGATCACAAAAAAATGTCTACCATTATGATTTCTGACTACCAGAAGCAAAATAGATCCTAGAAGACTAAACAGCAAATTAAGAGGCCAATTAAAAGTGAAATCAGAGCGCCTTCCCGAAATGTGGATTTTATTTGAGGTCTAATATTTTTATTCACT